ATGCTCTAATATTTGCTTTCAATGCTTTGCCCAACATAGACTGCTGAACAGGCCTACTGTCTTGAATTCAACTCCATAGAGTCTTTCAGTTCCTAAGAATTATCTTTTAGTTGTCCTTATATGAAATTTTACCCAAATATTCTGTAGCTCCTGCGAATCAGAACAAAAATCATTGACTGAGGGCGAAATATTTTTTGGTCTTGCATATACTTACTCTACAAAACTAATGATATTTTATGTTCCTCTATAATACAATTTTATGGAAACGTAACTTAAGAAGGAATATAAACTTCATCGTGGTCTGAAATCTATGGCTAAATCAAAAATTGTTCTTAAGCAAAAATCATGTTGTTGTTGATAGTAATATTGAACATGATATTGAATCGAAATGATTTTTCCTTATCTCATTTTTTAACTGTATTTATAATCACGTTATTATAAAACTCCATCAGTTTATATCTGCGTGAAATCAAAATCACAACCTTTTGATTGAAAAAATTTCTTGGGAAGGAAGATGATTATACCGACAGTCGATAAATTGCTCATGGAATAATCTCGAAGGAGAAATCTTATTGTTGACAGTAATCAATGATCTTGAAAAATACCAAAGGTGCTTCCTTTTTCTTGAGTTTTTTTTTTGCAATTTTGATCACTTTGTAAATTCAGTTTTATCTCATATCTAAGAGAGACGAAACTCGCAATTATTGAGTAAAATGTTACCTAAGAAAGAGACTTTGAATTTAACGCTGCAGTTTAGACATATCCATGAAATGTTCTCAAAGAGAAAACCTTTTTGGTTGCTGTAATAGTGGCCAAATTCTTTCACAGATGAAAGTCCTTTGTTCTAGACTTTGCTGCCAATGTTGAAATCAAGAAGGTCTTCTTCTCTCAAACTATACGATTTTTCTTATTCTTATTAGCAAAATCTTAATAAGCTCTAGCTCGTTGCTCATTTTCACAAGTTGTATCATATCCTCTAAGCGCCATCCATATTGATTGTGCAGACACTGAAGTGAAGCTTATTATCCGTGATGCCTTCACTTTAATCGCAGCTCTTCATATGGCTTGCATGTGAACATAGCGGTATTAGCATTGTTTTTCCATCTATGATATCAAATGACAACCTTTATGCTAGAAAAGTCCGCAGAAATATC